TCAGTTCTCTTGTCACCGAAGTTGGGAGGAAGAGGAGAGGCTGGTCAGGGCCAGCACAGCCTGTGGGTGTCCTCGGGGCCCTGAGAGGAGTGTGAGGAGTACAGAGCACTTCTGGCAGTGCCCTCAAAGAAAACCTGTAGAGAAGAATAAAGAACCCCCACATAACTGGCTGGGAGCTCAGGGAGTCTGGAAAGGTAAAGTGTGTGTGGCAAACCCCCTCATAGCACATTTTGGAGTGGCACAGTCAGGAAAGACAGAATTTCTGATTGTTAGACATGTAAACAGTCAGTCTAGGGGCAAGCTGCTGCTTCTGGAAACACTGGGCTCCGTTACAGAGCTCCAGGGCTTGTCTCATCACCCCAAGGGGACTCATTGCAGGGTTCAGCTCCAAAAGGAGGAGAGGGGGACCCTGAATCCCAAATGATCCTGAGTTCCCTTTGTCATAGTTATTCCTATTGCTTATTACACTGCACTGTAGGGTGGGAAAACACTTCAGGAGAACAGCTAGGCAAAGGATGAAGCATCTCTTCCATACTGAAGGCCAAACAGGTCTTTGATGACCCATAATAACAAAATTCTTACTGTCATTCAGTAAGAAGATGGAAAAAACTCATGTGGCTGTTTAGCTTTATGCTGTAGTTGCACATCTGGCTCCATAGTTCAGGCTCCTCTCTGATCCTTGTTTTCCCTCCATGTTCAGGAACAGTGAAGTGACCAGTGTCAGGCAAGGACAGGTGACAGTGCAGAACTTATGCCAGCTGAACAGCATTGGGACAGGGAATTCATTGACTGGACATAGGAAAACTGGACAAAACTATTGCAAACTTCATGGTCTTTACATGTATTAATTCAATGCACTGACACAGACATTTTGCACATCCTGCTCACATGGTTTGCATTAAAAAGCATTATGAAATCCCAAAGTCTAGTGCCAGATGGTTTTGGGTTTCTTTGCTTGTATAAAGGGTTTAATTTGGGTGCATGGAAAATGTAAAATACTCTGGTAATGGCTTTAGCAGGACACCCAGCCTGCATTTGCTTTATTCATCACCCTGCTGGCTCCTTCTGCACGTTATATTCGAGTCATGATAAAACTTCAAAACATGAATTCAAATTTACTGACTTCTCAGAACAGACTATGCTCTGTAAAATGCTTAAAGGGATTGACGTGAAAGGAAATATTCCTAAAGACCCTCTGTGCTGAGAAACCACACGGTGAACAAAAATAACCCTCTCTTTCCAAATGCATGGCTCCCAGGAATGCCTGAGCCTGGTCCTGAGTGCAGAGGGAAGGGGGCAATGGGGAAAGGTCAGCCATACAGCTGTTGCTCCTGCCAGCAGCTTTCTGCCTGCTTTACTTGACGAGCTGAATGAGCCTTTTAGCTCCTATTAACAGGGATCACATTTTTCAGCTGATCTTTTCTTGGGGGAACAGATGAGCACCAGGAGTATAAATACAGAGTTAACTTGAAATCTGAGCTGTTGGAATTCACACATCCCGTTCTCCAGGGCAGGAACAGGGTGAAGGGGCCATGGCACTCTCCGGGTGTCCTCCTGCAGGGCCACTGTCCCAGCACGTACCGGGGCTCTGCCTCCTCACTATTCACATATAGAATTACTGCCTTCAGCCAGTCACACTCCAAATGCAAGTGAAAAATGTTGACCTGGTTAATCCAGTAGCTTTCTAGGAGATAATAATGAAAATAAGCTAGATTGTGTTTTAGAACATTTTGAAGTTACTTCTTTAACTGGATGTGATTTTAGTTTTTTTAAACTTAGTCTAGATGGGGAAGCCAGTGACCAGTTAGAGACAGTTTTTATCTCAGTATCCTCTTTTCTACTGCTTCAGAAATAAATTGCTTATTTTCAGGGGCACCACAAAAGTAAGGGCATGACATATGAACAGTGGTCTTGTTCTCAGAGATGTAATGGGAGGAAGGCTGGTTTGTACAGAGGGAATCCCCTGGCTCTGCTCACCACCTTTTACCAGTTTTCACTCACCCTTTTTCCAGGAGTACGTTTTCCCCTGAGTTTCTGTGTAAAACTCAGAGAGATGTCAAATAGAAAAACAACCCAGGGTTTTCAGATTTGATTTTGACAAGTTTAGTATTACCAAAGAGTCTGTGTTTCCACTTGCACTGCAATACATACGAAATTGCTGACTTGCATTACATTTGATCAGTCTCCAAGTACTCTGCGATAATTATTTGGGAGTAATTTTTCTATCAAGTTTTTCTTTAAAAAGCAAGTGAAACAAAGCAAACTTCAGGAGAGCTGCAGGCTGCCATGAAACCTCGTGAAATGCACACAGCAGAGTGAACAATTCCAGGATTACAGAGGCCTCCTGGTCTGTACTGCACAGTCCCAGGTAAGTCTCCTCAGCTGTCCCACCTCCCCAGTGCCACTGGAAGCAGCTGCTGCTGTCAGCTGAGCCTGCACTCAGGATTTTTTAAAGAGGTGGAGCTGGGGAGGAGCAAGAACAATATACCAAGTGTGTCAGGCGGTCCCGAGGTGCCGAGGTCAGGAGCACACCCTGCGCTCAGGGCTGACTCCAGGGTGAAGTCACAGCCTGGGAGCTGAGTGTGTGCCCAGGGCTTGGCACAACTGCCCTCCCTGCTCTGGGGTGGGGCACATTTCAAAGGACTTTTCAGAATCAAAGAGTCAGGAGCTATAGGTCCAACAGGGGGATGGGGGAACATAGAAAGCTTAACAAGGCCTGGAGCTGCAGGCAAGGCATCTGAAGGCTTTTTAGATTCTGTATTGGCAGAAAGTGCCCTTGAGCAGCCCCCACGAAACGAATGATCAGCACAGACACGGGTGGGAGCAGTTTGTTACACTCTAAATCCTCCTTGTTTAGACTGTGCTGTATCAATGTCACACCTTTTAAAACTGGAAAGACAGAAGTTTCTCCGTCCTCCTCACTTTGCCAGCTCTCCCACTGCTGCCCTACCTATCCAGAGGCAGTCCAAAGAGTGACAGAGTACCATGGATTATTTACTGGTGTTTTCCTCTTGAAGCCTCTGTGCTGGGTTTCTTGTGAATCTACCAAATTTTAATAATTTTCATACATTTTTCAAGATGAAACACATACTCAGTTAACATTGAGACAACTTAAAAAACCTGATTCAACAATTTCCAAGGATGGCCCTTAGCTTAGAAGGAGTCCCCGTGACCTCTTTTCTGATAACTCCAGTGCTCCCATGCTCCAGGGTCGGGACTTGCCTACAATTATGGTCATTCCTCACTTATGAGTGTCTCAAATACAGAACCTTAGAAAATGAATCACACGCACGTTGCCACCCCCTGGGAAAACCTTGGGTTATGTGACCTGTGTGGTATCACAGAGATCTGTGACACAAACATGGACAGAATTCGGTTACCCAGGACAAAGTTCAGTTCTCTGAGCCATGAAATTGTCCTTTCCCTTTCCTGCAGTGTCCTTTCTCCTTGTGCATCTCCCAGCTTTTCAAACGAGGTAAACATTCCATTAGCACACAATTGACTCCAAGGAGGCTGGGAAAAGCAGCATTGAATTACTTCACTGAAGGCTATTGTAATTCTGTGCACAAGATTCCTAAATAAAGGTTGTATAAACAAACTTAACCCTAGCATGTTCCAGTTTGGGAGTGTCTGGTCTGTATTCCAATGTATTCTAATAACTGTGTTTTCCAGATGAATTTTGTCTGGGAATCCTCATGCATCACCAATACTCTGCAGTTGCTCCCTGTAGCAGTCTCAGTGCTCAGATATGAAGGCCTCCAGAATTAACAATTATATTCACCAATACTACTGGACTGGCCAAAAGCTACTTTCCTGCCTTGGTAGAGGGAGGTTTCATTCCATTAAATGAAAATTTAATGGAGTGGGCTCAGAGCTTCCCTTCCTACACGTACAAGGGGAAGGGCTCTCTGTGGCCTCCACGTGAGGAACCACGAGCTGTTTGATTTACAAGCCTCCCTGTCCTTCCTTGAAAGGGCAAACGTGTCCAGGCTGGCTGGCAGAGTGGCCCGGGGGAGCAGAGATCCCCAGCTCCTGCACACACAGCCTGGGCAGGGTGTTCTGAGGGAGCTCAGCCACCAGGACCAGCCACACCACCCACCCCCTGCAGAGCTCCAAGGTACAGTCGGTCCAGCACAGGCCCTGCACTCCCGGTCTCTCTTTCAAACCAAACACACGGAGCTGGTAATTACTGGTAATTACTGGTAATTACTGCTGTGCCACGGCAGCAGTGCCGGCACCACAAACCCGTTCATCCAGTTGGCTAATTAAGTATTTGTTTCTGAATGTTCCAGTGTCAATGTTAGTCACTGTATGAATGTAACAACAGGCAACACCCAAGGTCATTCCCAACTCAAAATATCAAAATACATTCTTGAGGTACTTTCCATTTGTTATTGCTCTTATCACTTTTCCCAGTTTGAAGCTGACCGAGAGCTGCTTCCAGGAAAATAATCACGGCCATAGCAGACAGTGTGTTTTCTCCTGGTATACACTGAAGGCAGAAACGTGATAATTTCTGAAAACTAATGTCTCCCTTCTGCAAAGACAAAAATCAATTCATTCCATTTATTCTTCAGTTTTCAGGGGCATCTGATTTTTCTCCTAATTCACATACAACCTCCTTTCCCTATTTTTGCTAAATACCAGCATTGTGCCATTTTCAGGCTCACATGGATAAAACCTCCTTCTAGATGACTCGTTTTATTAGTGTGACTGACCTTGGAAATGGATGTTTATGATATAACTATGACTAGACTTTCAGCTGCCTGAATCTTAAAGGAATAATTTTTTCAAGAAGACTTTATTATTAAGTGTGCCTATTAAAGCTGGTGATTATACTAATAATCTGAGTTATAGCATGTTTAATTACTATAATATGATATGATCCAATAGGACACCAGTGAGGAAAAGCAAACCATATTTATGAGCAATGACAAGCTTTTTACTCCATTTTATTGAATAACAAATACCATCCTTCTCTTAGGTGACTCTCTCTACTTTTACAGTGTTTATATAAAAACAAGCCAGTCATATATAGTATATGTCATACCATCAACTTGGAATCAGAGATGTCTTGAAAACCAGGTGTCTGCAGCTGTGAAGTCCATACACACAATTTGATATTTTGTGCCAAATACACCAGTGATGCCTAAATCCCTCATGCAGTGTATTGGGAGTCCCCTTTTGCAGGCTATAGAAACATTTTATGCCCCCATCTCTAGCTGGCATTGAAACAGAAACTATGCTGACAGGTCTCTTAAAAATTACATTATAGGTTGTTCCTGTTTTTTACTATTCTTGTAAAGTCTTCCTAAAAGAACTAGAATTGAAACACTGGCCACAATGGAAACACTGGCACATTTTAGGCAGATCTTTGTTTCTACTCAAGGAACCTGTTTATCTTCTCCTGTGGATGTGGCACCTGGGGACATGGGTTAATGGTGGCCTTGGCAGTGCTGGGGAGTGGCTGGACTCGATGATCTTGAAGGTCTTTTCCAGCCTAACAATTCTATGATTCCATACCCAACATGCTGTAAAGTTGGTCAAATAATCACAAAACACTGGGGAAAAAATGCCTTAGACGTGTGAAGTCTCGTTGCTCATGTAGTGGGGTAAGAAATTCAAACAGCATTTCCACGTATGCCAAAAGACTTGGATGTACTCTGACTCCTCCATCAGTCTTTATGATCTTCAAGACTCACTTCCTATTTTGTATTAAAAACTCATCCAATATTTAAGCTGTGCTTCAGGCAGGCCTGTTCCTGCTCTCTTCCAAGAGAGAGTCCCTTTTTACTGGGCACATTGTCTTCCCCTGGCTGTGCTTGAGCACCAGAGTGGATGGTGACTCTCCCTTTCTGTTCCTTATGCAGCTGGTCAAGCCACAGAGCACACAGGAAGGAACATCTTTCCTTCTCATTGCTTGTTTCTGCCACTTTGGGCTATAACAGTGCTCAAGCCTGTAATTTTAATAGCAGTATTTTTCCATTATAAGCCTCTTTTCTGAAGCAAAGGACCAGTGAGTGACACACTGTCCTCTTGTGGCATTGGCAAAAGGAATTTAGTTACACATCACAACCTATGTGCAACACACAAAATGTGCACGTGGGTTTTCCAGCCACTCCAGAGATACCACTTGGGAAGAAAAAACATCAGGGGAAAACAAATCTCAGTGCATACAACATCACAAAATAGATCCCACTGGAGAGATGTCCAAACCCCTGAGACTGGGAAAGGGAAGAGTGATGGCAGGGTGTGTATCCCAGGACAGAAATGAAGTTCTTACCTGTATTATCAGGGTTTATTTCAACCCACAGGACCCCTGCTTCAATTTAGAAAGCTGGAAAACAGAAGAAAATTATTTATTTATTTATACAGAGAAGGTCCCACCTCTTATGAATGATGAACTACGAATTTATACAGCAGGCCATATGTGCTCATGAGGAAATCCTTTTCTGAAACTCAAGACTCTGGAAGCTATTCACCAAGTTCAGTTTTACCCATGTTAATGAGAAGCCCAGGAAATTAAGACAGCTCCTTCCTAAGAAAAAGTCCTGCTCAGATCAGTGAAAGGCCAGCAAGGCCCAGGCCCTCTGTGTGTTTTTGCAATGTCAGTTTGCATTTCTGGGCCTGAAATCCTCAAACCAGCTGGAGAAGGTCCCAACAGGAGAAGAGCAGGACCTGGCTCTGTGCACACAAAAGGATGTGTAGGATGATGTGACTTACTACGAGATTTCACTGGAGCTGGGGATTTTTTCTATTTGGCTGAATCAATCAAACCTGTAAGTTTAGCTTTGTTGTTACAAACAGATGAAAGAATATATAATTATATAATCATGAGGAGAACAGGTGTCTTGTTTCTATCTAATTCATATGGAATTGACATGAAAAGAGTGGAAGTCAGGGCAATTTATAAGAGTTTTTTTTCCTGTAAATTTTCACTTTTACAATTCCAAACCCAGTATGTTTGCACTGTTGGGGAACCCCACAGTATCTGGGCTTTTTTAACCTTTAAAACTACCTCAGCTGTATTATTCCTCTAACTTTGATCTTATAATGTAATTAAAACAACTCTATTAGCTTAGCTCTGCAAAGTATCTCACATACACATCTTTGTCACAACTTTGAATTCTCATGTGCCTGCTCTGGTGCTTTTTTCTCCCTCCAAGCCAGCACCTTTTTATGACCTTTCACTCACCCTCAGCCTGTAGTTTCTTGTGCAATTAAAGTGAGCTGTGCTTATTTTTAGCTCATACAAATATTCTGGGAACTACAGAACAGTTTGTCACCCCCGTTGGTAGGGCCCAATTGTTTTCATTTGTTACTTGGTGGAAATTACCATGGAATTCAGTTAGCTTTTTGTTGTTGCCAATGTTTACATTTATTAGATACTTTCTCCTTCCCTGTGAGTTATTCCCACTGCTCCTTCCTGACAGGCATACCCCCAACCTGGCTTTGCACAGCTTTAAGTGAACATCTCTTTTAATAATCTTATGGTTATCAAAAGAGTATTTCTGATAATTATCTTCGTATTTCTTTGTATTATTTAAGTGTATTCTGTATTAGTTAATGCAGCTGAAAGGATGCTCTCAGTTCTATATTCACATTTCAATCCAAGGTGGGATAACTTCACTTACCTCATTCTCCCAAATCCTCTGCAGTATTTTGGGTAAAATGCCACACTGGAGAAAACAATAAAGCACATAAATATTAACACGAACTTTTTTTTTCTCCCATTAGATGTCAATCTTTCTGCACAAAATTTATGTGTGAAAGGAACGTGGCCATAATATTTTCCATTACATTATCATGCTGCTAAATCTTTCTTGGCAAAGGTTGTGGTAAGGTGCAACAACTCAACTGCTTGCTTGACAGCTTATCCTAGGAATAATGTTGAGGGGAAAAAAAGTTCTACTCATTATTTCAATATTGAGATGTTGGGGGGAGAAGGTTTTAATCCCTTTTGCTTTGGCAGGCTACAAACAGGACACCAGATGGGATATATTTAATAAATAAACAGTGCAAAGTCTCTGATCCACCTATAGCCAAGTCCTGACTCAGCCTCCTCTTACTGAAATCTCTTGGAGCCTGGTCAAGTCCAGATAAAGAGCTCATTTCAGTTCTGGAGCCAAGCTGTGTTGCTGCATCCAAAGTAGGTTGGGAACCCTGCCCTGGGAGCAGCTCTGCTTTTGCACTGCTCCTCGAGGCTCTGGCTCTCCTCGCTCAGGTTACAACAGGCTATTTTCCCTGCTTACAGCTGCCTCTGGAAAACATAAGAGCTGTTCTAGCATCTGGTTGTGTCTGGTCTGACACTGTAGTCTTGACATACTCTTTCTTTCCTAAGAATGTCTTTTGTTCCCAGAGTTAACTGGCATAGACATGAGGGGATGTCCCCTCAACAGGGTAAAAACTTCGGGGTCCAGCTCCAGTTCCTTGATATCAAACACGCTGATACAAGATGGGCTGATTAAGACCCTCAAATGGAGACTTGCAAATCCATCCTACACAGCTCAGTCCCAGTGTCCAGCAAAGGGAAGGTTTCACTGTGGGATCTGGGACTCCTCTGGAGCCACAGATCAGGAGACACCCCATCAAAGTGAACAGAATCGCACGAGCACTCAGCTGGAATCATCAGCATCGTGGAAGGCTTGGGCTCATCTATCTGATCATGTTAAGTTAATCATTAATATTTTTAGTTGTACTTTCAGTAAACACCACATAAGAGATTTCACTGATCCCTCATCAGTAGAACTCAAATTTTGGAATCCCTTGTGTAAATCACTGGGAGAAGAGAGAGAAGCATTTGAGAGGCAGGAGCAGCCCGGGCTGTAGATGGAGTGGCACATGCTGGGTCAGACAGCTGAGAACAGAGTCCCTGTGCCTCAGGGCACTCCCATTGTCAGGGATAACCTCGGGGCACTGCTCATAAATAGAAGCAGCAGCATGACAAAAACTGCCCCTTCAGTTGCATATCCCATTTTAGAGGGACACCAGAACTCCATCAACACTGTGTACACGTGAACATCTATATTATTATCATGGTTTAGTGCCTCCAACTCTCCAGGTTATGCAGGTCATCCTTCAGTCTTTGCTCTGTGTGTGGTCCCAGAGCCATCCTGCATCAAGCACTGCTCCACCATGTACCACGTGCTCTTTGAAGTGCCACACAGACCATCAAATATTGGTGTGATTTTAAAATTTTTAGAAGTGTAGTCATCTTAACAGACATAAAAATGGGCTCAGTGGTGCAACTGCCAGTGTGACAGAAAGAAATGACAGCTTAAAGATGGACATTAAAGCATCCTGAGCAGCTGGCATACAACAGGTTATTCAACAGGTTGTTTTAAAAATAAGAGAGGAGCACAAAGATGTCTGTGTTTTTTCCATGCCAAAGAATGTGCTTTAGAGGATACTTTATTGAGACATTCTCTCACTGTACCTCAGCCTGGTACACTGGCCATTGGTTATGCTGGGTATGACCTCGTGGTGCCTTCACATCCAGGTTTTATCTCCATACACAGGCATTAGCAGAGGAAGTTCTTCTTGCTTGACTCTAAACGTGAGTATCTGTGCAACAGTCATGAGCTAAGTCATCACTTGTACTATTATATACATTAAATAAGCAATTATGTGAAATCTCATCAGCTAATTATAATACATCAAACTGAACTAAGAATCTGGAATCAGTCCGTATGATTGCTTCTCTTCAGCCAGACTCATTTCAACCTAAAGGACTGTATGTAGCTAATTTAACATAGACATATTCTTAAAATAATAAAAATTATATATAAGCCTATGAAATAATTCAGCCATGAAGCCTGAATATGAATACTTCATTAAAGAAGCAGGCAGATCTTTCCTGCCATCTGTTGCATCACCCAGGGAATATAGGGAATATACACCTTCTACATGTCAAAAGTCTCTTCCGATCACCGGTGATGCTTCCTGAACTGTCACTGCCGTGGACAAATGTTAAGCAGTCTCTCCTTTGTCAGTACAGCAGCTGATTTCACTGGGGTTGTGTCAGCTCTCAGTTGACTGTGGCTTTTTTAAACAAATAAATACGCAGAGCTGACTGCAGACTCTTAGACCATCGGAATTCCGTTGCTGCAGAGGGCAGGGCACAGCATCCAGGGGCAGACCTGGGGAAAGGTGGGGGTGTTCCTGCCCTGCTGTGGCCTCCTGGCAGGAAAAGGAATGGCTGGGAATGGGGGAAGGAACAGGAAACAGCCACCACTTGTTCTGACACTGCTGCTGACAGATTGCTTTAAACCCAACAATGCTGTAAAAGCAGTTTCTCTTTTGAATACTTGCAACCCATAATGATTATTTTAGGTCTCCTTGGTTTTGAAAAATCCCACATACAAAATGAAGTAAGGTTTGCTTTAACAATGGAAATACGTGGCTGAGGCAATGACAATTGCCCAGCAACTGAAACAATTCTCTACCCACAGGCCCAACCACTCAGAGGAAAACAATGCAACAGCATGGGTCACAAAATCTGATTTGTTGTTTTATTTGGTCTTAAAACCATTTGGCTCTTCATCCAACACTTCTAAGAACTGTCTGCATTAGGAAAGATATATTGCTGAAAGAACAGATTACCTTCAGCCATTACTGCACTTGAGCTCCTCTGAGCACTGATATCCATAAATTGCTCTTAAGGCTTGGGATTTTTGGGGCAGAGACTGGAACTGACATCAAATTGTATTTTCCTTGAACACAAGAAATGAAAAGACTTTGTACTTCTACCTTGTTCTCTGTCTCCTTTGTTTTCTCTAGGAAGTAACTGAGTCAGGAATAGATGTCATGCTTCTCACTTTTGTTCTCTAACTGCAAGACTATGCCTAAATATCAGAGGAACCTGAAAAACAAGAATTGCAAGCTATACTAAGATACAACAAGCCAAATTAATTCTTGGGGCAAGTACACAAACTAAACACTGTTAGAAGACTCTCTTACTATCTGCTGGAGGAGAATATCCTCCATTATAACAAAACACAGCTAAAAATATCCTGTATTATAAGAACTGGAGCTGTATTTGAGGCAGTTCCCTTTGGGAGGGTGATTAATTGATGTGCCACCAGCAGTAACTCTTCTGGAGTAAAGCATTTTCACTCACAGTTGCACCCTCTTTCCATTTCAAGTAAGGGAGAGTCCAGTGTATGATTCGAAGTTCTTCTAAATAAACAGTTTTGATTTGTTCAGGGCAATTTACCATCTCTATCAGTCACAAAACTTTTGCTGACAGAAAGTCTACAGGTTCCACCAAAGTTAAGTTTGGAGTTTCCTGGCCTCATGGACAGTTCAAGAAGTACAACTAGCGAAACACAAGAAAAGTTAGAAAAGTTGTATTACAATTGGTTTGTTGGTCTGAAATTCCTGACTCATAGAGAGACCAGGTTCTAGTACTTTAAAAAAAGATTTGCTGAAAAAATTGAGGATACGTGATTTTGTCTCTGTAGCCTGACATTGATCTGTTGTTTGATTGGTTTTTTTTAATGCAGTGCAGACACAGTCATGATTTAGAAGCTCTGAGCACTTGCTTAGCTACACACATTACTTTTCTTTCCTGTATCTCTAGCCACGAAAACTAAAAGTGCAACTACTTGTGAACAGGATTGTAATGTATCTGAGGCAACCCAAGGCCACGAAAATAATGCTGAACCATGACAGTAAAGACAAAAAAAGTAATGAATGGAAAAAAATATTACAGGTTCAAAGCTTGTTGGTGATGCTGATACTTTTTACAGTGCTGTGAAACAAATGCCAGAACAAGACCTGGCATAAGTTTGTCAGACATTATAGAGTAATATGCAGAGATAGGTCTGAGAGGTCCCCTTTTCACACCTCCGTGCTGATGCACAGTGGGTGTAGCCCTGTGGAAAATACAGCTCATTATAAACACACCAGACAGACACGCAAATACAGCGCACAAACCCCAAATAAACTCACATAAAGTCCATCTTAAATGAGCTGCACTTAACACGAGGAAAAGACATACGTTGTTACTCATAGTCTAATAAAAGAAACTTAACTGTAGTGCTATAATATTAGATCTACAGCTTGAGGAAAGGTCAGTCCAAAGCATCTCCACGATCAGCCCCACATTTTATTCCTGAGCCCGGGGCTCGGCGGGTCCTTCTTGTAACTGATGGACTGGGAAGGAAAGACTTTTAAACATAAACGGCGTGACTTGAACAAAAGGATGACGACTGATGCTGGACACTGCTGGTGTGTCTTACTTGCCAGGCCATGAACGTGGGAATGCGTTCGGGGCAATAATTGGTCACTAATTCATTTGCAAAGTTCCCAGGCACAAAGGAGAGGGTTTATGTAAACATCCTCAGAACACCAAGCAGGAACACTATTCCTGAGCTTTGCGTACGGCACATAGTCCGAGTGTAAATTCTGTTAAGTGACTCAAAAGAACTTTTTTCCTCTCGTGTCTTTGGGCTGCAGCGCGTGGGAGCCCCGCGCGGGTGTCCGGCGGTGCCCTCCGC